AATGACATGATATTACATCCTAAATTACTTACAATTATTAAAAATTCAAAGCAATAAAACTCTCAAATAAAAAGTTACACTATAACAGTTTCTAAGATGGCTGCAAAGTATTTTAATGTAATTTAAACACACTGTATATATTTCCTTGTACTGTTTGCACAAAATTAGTCCTAGTGTGAGGTTGCCTAAGCATTGGTTCGGCATTAGCGCTTAGTTTATAAAACTATTTTTATTTTATAGCTTCAATTTTATTACTCTAAAGCAGATAATTAACTCAAATTAAAATTATATATCATCATCATATATCAATTTTATTACTCTAAAGCAGATAATTAACTCAAATTAAAATTATATATCATCATCATATATCAATTTTATTACTCTAAAGCAGATAATTAACTCAAATTAAAATTATATATCATCATCATATATCAAGTAACACATCAAAATAATAAAAAACCTAAATAAAGTATATATATCTAACATTATATAAAAATACAATACACATAAATCAAAAACAATAAATAACATATTAATGTCAAAAGTATAATTTATTATATATGTAAATATGGATATAAAATGTTTATTTTAACACATAATCTAGAATTAGGGATTGGTTATGTTATGTATTTTGATTAGATGATGTATTTTATAATTTCTAATGTACTAAAATATTTTATGCTTTCTAAAATTATGAAATTTAAACAATTATTTTAATTTTTTAGTCATTTTCAAATAACAGATAACAAAAGATTTGAAGATATTTGGGTAATGAATGAAAATTTAACAATGGATCTTATTGACGATGTTTTAAAGATAGATAAAATTATTACTGAACAGCAATTAGGATTGGATTGGCATGCCCCAAACTCGTAATATTTATATTACTTTTTTACATTTTTAAATTTAATTGCTGTGTATTTATTGTTACATTACACATCCATTTTTTTTTTTAGATCCACAATTTTTTTTTTTTTTTTTTTTTTTTGGTGTTTTAGAATTTAATCTGGCTCATTACTTTTATCTTTTATAATATTTATTGTAATATCTTATTGTTCTTTTTTTTATTACTCATTTGTATCATGTGCAAAATGTTTCTTTTTTATAGTCTGATTCTAGAAAGTATTAATTTGCTTGTTGTCTAGAAAATTTCTAATAGCAAGTCCTTTTAAAAAGGACAGAGATGTTTTGTTTACTGCAGATCAAGAAGTTAGTTCTATCAAAAGTAATTTGGAAGAGATTTCATCAGTTGGCAATCTTAAAAATATGTTGAATATTTTGTGCGATGAGTCAGTTAGTATTTTTCTCAAATATTTTTGTATACAACATATATTTTGCTTAAATACTTTTAAATTCAATTATTTATTTTTTATAAATATTATTAATATAAAATGAAAAAAGTATTATTAAATACAGTAGCGTGCAAAAGTAACTGGACAAGTGCATAACTTGAGATAACTTTTGAATGAAAAGTCTTGAATGAAATTTCTTTCAAATTTCACTGTAATGTCAAAAAATTGATAACAATTCTAAAAGCAAATGAATTTTTACTAAATCTAAGCAATATAATCTTAAAAGTCTTATATATCTATAAATAATCTTAAAAGTTCATTTTATTGAAATATGTGCGTACAATAGTATCCGGGCAGAAAAAAATACTACTTTTGCACTCGCATATTTAGAAGATTATTTAGAAGATATTTAGAATTGCTATCAATTTTTTGAAATTCCAGTGAAAATTTGAAAGAAATTTTCATTCAAAAGTTATCTCAAGTTATGCGCTTGTACGGTTACTTTTGCACACTACTGTAGATATTTGATAAATATGAAAAATAAAGTATATATATGAAGACTTAAATTTTCACCTTATTACATACTTATTTAAAATGATTAATAAATACTTGAACAACACTTTGTTTTGATAATATTATACAACTTAGTATTTTGTTTTTATCTTTATTTTATTTATATATGTTTTTTCTATAAATATATTTTTATTATTAAATATACATAAAGAAAAAATATTTTTGAAGATTATTTTTTTGATTTTAAAATTTATTTATGTTGAATTGTTTGATTTTGCTATCAAATGTTAATTTAGTTGTCAAGTGAATATATGTATGAACACAGTTTTTGTTTTATCAGAAAAAGTTTAATTTTTTTAATTAGGGTTTTCTTGTGGAGTCAAAACTTTCAAAACTACTTGCTCCAATAAATAAAAATGATCAATCTTTAATGACATTGGATGCTGTTTTTAATGTAAGCTGAAACTTCGGATTTATATAATATTTTTTGATAATATAACTTTTTTATACATATAACTATATATAACTTTATTTTACATTATGTTGAATTTTTTTTATTCATTACAAATGGCAGCCTAAAATAAAAATTTAATAATTATTGTTTAACAGTTATTTTCTTATAAGTTTGATGATATTTGTTTTGTTTTTTTACCAAACAAATCATTCACTTAAAAAAAAGGAATATCTACCTTATGATATGTGAAAATATGGTATGTGAAATACCCTTATTAGGGTATAATTTTCTACCTTCTATGGTAAAAAAATATAACATCGAGGTAGAAAGTTGTATGACAAATTGTTATTTTTAATATAGTTTTTTACCATAGAAAATAGAAAATTATTCCTAACTAAGGGTATATCATGTATTATACCCTAAGGTAGAACTTTCTACCTTTTTTTTTAGAGTGTAAGAAAACTCAAACTTTCAGTCAGTAGCATTTTTTTAAATACAACGTTTCTTATAATCTAAGAGCACTTTTTTTAAAATTTTAAAATCCTCCTTCAACCCTTGTAATGAATCATTACAAGTTTTAGCATAATATGTGTTAACAAGTTGTGGCAATCATCTTGCAAGGTAAATAAAATAATATATCACCATAAATAATTTGAAACAAATGACCAGATTTTTAAAAAGAGAATTTAGTCTAAAGGTATATGATAAAATATATACAAACATATATACAAACCTTATATAAAAAATGATTTACAATAAAATTTTATTACAAAATGTGCAATATATATTTTGGTAAAATTTATAACCTTGTTGTTTATTTGTTATGTGGTTTTATTATGTTATATAGTCCTGTAGAATTTGTTCTTAACCCAAAAAACTTTATTATAAAGAAGTGTTATATATCGTTGAAAAGCTTATTTTTTCTCTTTTTAAAATAAATAATTTATTTTTTTAATTTGGAAAAAAAAGTTCCAACATCACAAAGTCTACGGGGTAAAGCACAAAAATAAAATTTTACTCTAAAAATAACATTTTCTTAAGTAAGTCATTTGAATGATTATATTAACTGAAAACAAAATAGTAAAAAACTAAAAGTAAAGAGGGACTAAAGTTTAGCAAAGTTTTCCAAAATTTTATATAAAGATGACATATCTTTTTATTTATACCTGATTTATATCTTTTTAACTTTTTCATCCTGTCTCTCTTTCTAATTTTTTCCTCTTTCTCTTAAGCTTGACAGCTTGACAGCTTTTCATTTCTCTTAAGCTTGACAGCTTGGTCTAGTCCTTTTATGCATATTTTTGCATTTTTTTTTATGGCTTTGATAAGGGTGTATAAAGATGAATATGGGTTTTATAGGAAATATTTTATTTTACTTGTTCAGGATGATTTGTAATAGCATAAATTATTTGTTCTGTATAATTTTTTCATGCTTATTAAACTAAAAAAAGTTTTATATTGTTAAACTAAACAAAAATAGAAACAAAAAAAAAAGGGAAAACATGATAAAACATGTAAGAATGCTTTATTTTTTTGGTTTTTACCATAATTAAAAAAAAAAGCCTCCTTGACTGTAGTGACCACCTCCTTGACTGTAGTGGCCGTCTCCTTGACTGTTGTGACCACCTCCTTGGCTGTAGTGACTTGGCTATAGGGAGAAGAATATTATTTAAAAAAAAAAGCATTTTAGAGTCTTATAATGAATTTTTTATAATATTGTTTTATAATTTTGTATAAAATATATGTTCCACTACCTTTCTATTTTTAAAAGTGTACTTTTAAATTTTAAAACATATTCATAGAAAATTATATTGAAAACCCTTAGAAACGAAAGTCATTGAATTAACTGTGTCATCAGCAAAGATTGTGGCAGGTCCTGTTTTGGAAAAGTCAAGTGCAAATCTAATGATAGTTGTATCAGAATGCACCATAATGACAAACATATACAGTTACACTTTTTTCTCTTAGTTTAATTTTGAGAATTCAAATAAAAGATTTTTTGTTGGCAAAGTTGGAGAAAAATTTAGTTCTATCAAAAGCACAGGAATTGCTTTTGTGTATTTCAACTGTTTGTTGTTGTGTTAAAAATCCACACTTTATACGAGGCGTGTCTTTTGTAGTTGTATTGAATACTACTACATTAACTTTATAATATAAATTGAATGTATTTATTAAAGATGTTATTAAATATTTCACCCTTGTTTCAAATGCAGCACCATAAAAGAGAGCCACCATTGACAATTCTATCAAATAATGTATTTTCATTGTTGAGTATTCAAATAGAGTTTTTGAAGATTTTGGAGTTGATTATTTTTCTTAAAGAGATTTCTCTGTATTCCTTGTCATTTATGTTTGTATATATATTGATACACCAATACTTTCAGAACAATCACAAATCATCTGATTAAATTCATCTTCAAGCCCTGAGTCCAGAGTCTCAAGTTGATCTCTCATTAAAAAGGCTATAAGATTTGAACCAAATTGATCTTATAAAAATCCTCAAATCACACTTGATCCTCCTTTGTGCAAAGTTCTTTATGTTCACTACTTGGGTTTATTGGTGAGGTATAGAATTTATTACTTCCCTTATTTCAGCTCACTTTGATAAAAATATTATTTTAATGGATGAAATATTATGTATATCTATTTTATTTTGTTTACATAGTTATGCTGTAAATACCTATTGTATTTGTAGTGTATATAATTTTTCATGCTTACTTCACTATGTCACTTGATATTCTATTGACTTGACAAATTTAAATTGTATGAAACATAAATATTTAATCTTATTAAACTTATGCATTGTACTTGTCCAAACGTGTTACAAATTTCAGTAAATCCTTTGCCAATTACTTCTCCTTTAGCCATATTTCATTAATATCTGTTTAATGGACGATTCTGTCCATATTCTGGACCAACACTTTGAAGTATGCCTTTATGATCGCCATAGAGAAACTTTTTATATACTTCTAGGTGATTACACGCTAATTTATCCAGTGATTGTAAATATAGATGGAGTGTTTTTGCATAGTTATTGTGTTATTCATAGTTTTGCATTATTTATAGCATACGTTTTGTTGCAGTAATATGTAGCTTCAAGTTACTAATTCTTTCAGCTCAAATAAAATTGAATAAATATGGTGTAGTATTTTTAGTGGCTACAAGATTGTTTATATTTAAAAGTCTAGCTTCAATAGTTTTTAATAAAAAATTTTCTTTAAATAATTCTAGTGTTACATTAATTTTTTTTAGAATTTGAACTTCTATGAAATGTTTCCTTCACGGTGTCAACTCAAGAGTGCACATTCTTCCGTAATAAAAATATTGTTCTTTAAATTAAAAACAGGGTTCTTACAAAACCTATTTTTTAGCCACTTTTTAAGTCTGAAAATATTTCTTTGTAAAAGTATATGTTTTATGGATTTAGGAGGCAATCAAAAGTTTAAATTAAATAAAGATATGAGTTTTTCAAACAAAATTTTAGGTTTAATATCTATTACATTTTTAAATTAGATTTTAAAATAGATTATTAAATATTAAAAATTGTAATATTTAAAATAGATTATTAAATATTATAAATAAAAATATTATATATTGAAATGTTTTTTTTTTTTTATGTTAAACATTTAAATTATAGTCATGAGAATGAAAGAATTTTCGAAGTTTTTTCTTCTTTTACATTTGTGTGGTTCACAGCAGTGCTCTAAATTAAACTAAATCATTTAAAAGGGTCAAAACATTTTTTTAAAATAGATGTTTATTCTGGCATTAATCCGTTTGCAGATTATGAATATTTTTATGTGACGCTACAACAGGGAAGAATATAATTTAAGGTTTACAAGCTTCTCCTTCCTTTACTGCAATTTTATTAAGGTTTTTATATCAGAGTTTTACATTAGCTATATTAGCTTCATCATAGTTAAAGAGTCTGTCCCATATGAAACTCCTCTGTCCTCATATGAAACTAGCTCTACAGAATCATCATGGAAAAACCCTTTTAATATAAAAGTTTCAAATAGTATGGTTAAACTTAAATTTGCTAGATTCTGCTTTACTATTATTAGACAGGCTGGTATAATCCAGCTTAATCTTCATTTGAAGTTAAAGAAACACAAAGAAAATACAAAATCAGTACAGTCTAAATTTGTGACAAGTTCAATTGGTTTTGCTTGAAGAGCACTGAAGAATAAGTAGTTATGAATGAAATTGTTCATTGTCTTAATACTATTGATTCAAAGAATTTACTGCAGCTGATGGCGACTATGTTAAATACAAATGTATGTTTCCAGATTCTAAAAATGAGCATATCGAGAAAAAAAAAGATAAACTGTATTATATAATTCAGTTTGGAATCTTTTGTATTCAAAAAATTATTTTAAATGGGTTGAAGTATTTGTTTTTCATGTTTCTATTTGATGAAACAACTAAAGATGATGAAACAACTAAAAATGATGAAACAACTAAAGATGATGAAACAACTAGAGATGATAAAACAACTACATCCTAGATAAAAAAAAATCATAACACTTATGCAGCATTCAAATCATTTTCAGCAAACATTGTACTTAGGAACAATTTGTTGGGAGGTGTATTGTGGATCTTCTTGATCATTTAAAAAAGTTGTTAGGCTAAATTCAGCTTATTGTTTAATTAACAGTAAAAATAAATAAACCTAAAAACTTACAATAATAATTATATATATATATATATATATATATATATATATATATATATATATATATATATATATATATATATATATATATATATATATATATACATATATATATATATATATATATATATATATATATATATATATATATATATATATATATATATATATATATATATATATATATGTTTATATAATATATAATTATTATGCTAAGTTTGCTACTAATATATTAAAAAAAAAAAAAAATAAGCAAGAGAACAATAGACTGTTTTTATTAACTTTTGATTATTTTTTTTTTCTGGCTTTGCTTACTATAAATGAATTAATGATCTTTGAGAAAAGAAAAAATGAAATAGACCTTCAAGCAAGAAAAGATGAAGAGGTTATTTTTTGAGTGATGTTCTTTTAAAAAAAAATTTTGTTTAAACTTTTTAAATAAAAAATGTTATTTAAAAAGTTTAAGTAGTTTTTGCTTCATTTAAATTTCTTTTTCTATTACACTTGAGTAAATAATAGAAAATTTAACAATGTTTATAAAGTCTACTTTATAAACATTGTACTTAGGGAAATTATTCATAGGAAGCTGTAATGAAGAAGACCTTCTTGATCATTTAAAAAGTGGTTCAGAAATATTAGCTGTAACCTGAGTTAATTTTTTCTATTAGTATGTATGATCCCAATGTCAATAAATTATTCTTTAAAAAGTTGAAAAATGTTCTTGAAAAAAAGAAAAATTTATTTTATACTCCATACAGTTTCCAATGCTTTTTGAGAAAGTTTGAAAGCATTGATTTCTAAAGATATTGATTTTGACACATTAGCAATTAATTTGCACAGTTTTTTTTATTTTTGGCAAAAAAAAGTGAAAAATATTTTGCTTTAGTTAACAATGACAACCGATTTTGACATTTATCAGCTCATTGAATAAGTGTTCAATATATATTAGAGAGGGTAATGGAGCAGTTTGATAACTTCCAAGAACACTTAAGGGTTCTATAAAACAACTATAAATCCAGATTCTGCCAAAATATTTGTGGAAGAGGGAAACAAGCTATTTAAAGTTTGTGTAACAAAAATGTCAAGGGCTGTATTTATTAATGATTAACAAAAAATAGAATTTGGAAAGAAATAATAAAGAAAACTAAATGCAGACTTGAAATAGGAAAGAAATTAAAGCTAGAGTGAAAATAATGAGAGAATGTTCGAAAATACAAAAAGGTTAATCAAATAAGTTTATATTTTATATTTTATTTCTTTTTTGTTTAAGTTTTTGAAATTTTATACTATCAGTCATGCACAAAGTATTTGTTTCTTTCCTTTATTATAGGGAATTGAAATTTTTTTTTAATAGTATTTTTATGAACATTTTTTTGATATATATATATATATATATATATATATATATATATATATATATATATATATATATATATATATATATATATATATATATATATATACATTTTTTATTGTTTATAAAACGATTTTAGATGTTTACTTATGATTTTTTGAAGTATATGTTTTGAATGTTGTCATAAATTGTTTTTAAAAAAAAATCCTGTTTTTGAGGCCTCCATAGTCCTGGTTTTTTTTTAATAAATATATTTCTGTTATTTACAAATGACTCTGAGGGACCCTGTTAAGACCTGTTCTGATTGAGTCAAACATTTTCTTTCTCTAGAAGTTTCTAATAATGGTTGTAATATTTTTAATTGATCTTGAGTGATTTTTTAATTCAGGTAATATAAATAAAAATGATGTCAATAAAAAACTTTGTTTTCTGTTTCTTGCTTTTTATACAGTTCACAAACTAATCAAATTCAAATTTAAAACACACTTAATCTTTTCAGAGCTTCTTGGTTGATATCATTTCCAAATGTTGTCCAGACTTGGCTCAACAAATTTTGATTGATTTCTTTGTTTAAGTCCATAATTTTTCATTTTTGGTAAATTAAATGAATTAAGTTCAAAATTGTTTACAAATCAAACTTTTGACAATTAAAAAATAAATTTGGAATCTTTTGTGCTATCAATTCCCAGAAAACATTTTTATTGTGGATTTGCAGTGGACCTATAAAGGCATTTTGAGTGATTCATTGGAGTTTTACTCATCAGTTACTTTGAGGACCATTAGTGGCATCTGCTAAAAGTGGCCAGTTGATAACTCCCCAAAATGTGATATAGTCTAGTTTGTCACTTTTGGCTGCTGCCACTAATGGTCTACTAAGTAACTTATGAGCAAAACTACAGTGGACTTTTTAAAATGCTTATATCGGTCCACTGAAATTCCACTATAAAATAATGTAAGAAAAATTTCTATTATAATCTCATAATAGCAAGTTATAAATTATTATGTAGTTATATAATTTTATAAACAATAAGATTAATAATTTACTAAAATGTTTTTGAATAAAAATATCCAACACCAAAATAAACAATTTGGAATATATAAAGTATATTACAATTTGATAACTTTGGAACTCGAAATTATGTAGAATTGCAACTTTTAATTCCACCTGCCTATCCTTAATATCCTTTAGTATTCTAGTGTCACAAAAGAAAATATATTTAACATACTTGTATCATTTAAATATAAACATAAATATAACTACACAATTTACTGTATAACATGTTTAAAAATCATCGGCAAAATTTAAAATTTTGTTTTCACCCCCTAATCTGTGTGAGGCCACAACTTTTTTTCTCCAAAATAAGAAAATGTAGCAGTTACTCTTTTTAAAGAGGAATAAATAAGCTTTCCAACAATTCTTATGTAATAATTTTTTCTGGATTTTATTTCTGGCTAAAATTCTACAGGACTAATTATAAAAAAGACTTTTTAAGATTATTGACAATTTTTTTCAAGGCTCTGAGTATCAAGTCAGTAAGTGACATGGAACTGCTAAGTCAGCATTTTTTCAAAACTCAAAACTCAGAGAATTTTATTGAAATAAAAAATGGAACAAAATCTGAAAATGAAAATTCTCATGAAATGATCCATCCAAATATAGTTGTTAAAGTTCTAAGGAGCTTTCTTGAAGAAAATATTACTGGATATGAAAG